AAAATGTATTGCACTCATGGCAGTTTCAGATCCATTTGATATACCAGTGCTACGGTGTCCAGGCTTTTCCTCCTGTACGATGGGGATGGAGTTTTCCTGTTCATCATGGATTAGGATGCTTTTTAAAATGCATATCCTCTTGACCTAGCTGTTTCAAATTACCATAACGCCTTGTGTCTCTGGCTGAGAGTACTCTGAGGTGTGCTGGGGGCCTGGGACTCCAGTGCTGGGAAATGGGATGGTGCAAGGACTTCCCAGCTTTTCCCTGAGGTGCTCTGCTGCTTTTGTAATCTCTTGCATAGCAAACATTGATTAGACACATGAATTCTGGGCAATGTTCCTTAGTATTTCCACACTTGTCCTTTTATTCATGCCATATTTTGGGAATATTGAATGTTTGGGGCATAATGCAGTGGAATTCCACTTCAATTGTTATTTTACTCTATAAAACAAAATACAAGACTTCTGAAAACAACCAGGAAGATGATCTATTTTTTCTATTTTCTTCTCATTTCTCTCCTGTCTTTCCTGTTCTCTATTGTTTCTTCTTATTCCTTTTTTTCTTTTTATTAATTTTTTTTCTCCAGACCTTTTGAATCTTCCAGTTCTTTCCCTTCTGCCTGACCATTTGTCTTTCCCATCCACAGTTTTTCAGATGGAGAGAAGTGATTTTTTGTTTTCTCTTTGAAATGTTTTCAGCCCTGCCTACGGGGTCTGAATAACAGCCTCACCCAGTTTATTTCAGGTTGCTGCTGTTTGGCAGTGCTTCAAGAAGCCGCAGTGGCACCAGAGCTTGGTGACAAACACAGGAAAATGCAAGGTCAGGAAAGTCTTTGGCTCTGTCACATTATTCAGCGGCTGTATTTTTTGGAATATGGACAGGGATCTAGTTCTGAGGCACTTCTACATGGACAGATGATGAGTTTATAGCACATCTTTTAAAGCTGGAGTTCTAAAAATCTGTTGTTTTCTGTCTTTATCTCCATAATATCTTTGTCTACCCACCTATGAATTTGATAGGCAGTGTTGTCATATACATCCATAGATCTAGAAACCATCCACTAATTTTGTATTATATAAAACCTTTCATGATCAGTAATCAAGTTGTATTGTCTAAGGTTTGGGGTTTTTTGCTTTATATGATGCTCTAATTTCTCTGGAAAAGAAACAAGAAGTTTTTAGCCAGGTATTTAGCAAAGAATTGTTTGTTTATTTGTTTTTTAACTTTCCCTAACAGTGACTTGTCCCTGAAGCAGTACAGTCTTTTGTTTTGTACTCATAATGTTATTGTTCACATGCCTTTCATTAGTGAAAAACTAGATGTCCTTTGGCACTGGAATGTTTCAATGTAATCTTTATATGTGCATATATTTTTATATTCTCTATATATGATAACCATATGGCCATATCTAATATATATATATATAATCAGTCAGGAAGGTAAAGCAAAGAAACATAGTGGTTGTGAGTGGACTGAAGACCCTGGAGTAATTGTTTCAGCTTTGGTATAAGAGCTTGTTTCCCATGTGCTGTGTTGTCCAAGAGACTGAAGTTGCTGACAGTGCTCTAAGCCTCTGTGTGATCTTTTATCCCTTCTAGGCTTGGGCACTGGAATAGCTTGAAGATAAAACATAGTGAAGTTGGAACTGATGGTCAATCTGTGTAAGGACTTAAAGGCCAGGCCTGGAGAGTTCAGAATAGACATGAATTTCTGCAATATTCTGCACAAGGTGAAGTTTCTTACATGTTGAAGTGAGTTATGCCTGAAAACAGCAGCCTGTTGTACTGCTGGAAGACAGAACATGGCTTTATGGGTTGGGGTTGTCTGGAATGCAAAGGACGATGTCTACCTGCTGGACTTAGGCTGTAGATCATGTTGTTGATTGTAGATCAGATTTATGAGTGAGCCTTTAGAGTTAGGTTAGGCATTTGTCAGAAATTAAGAACCTAAGAAGGCAGGCATCAAAACTCTGAAGTTAGTAATCTCTCAACATCCATGTAAATCCAAACTTCTATATGTTAGTTTGCCTTATATCTATCAGAGAATGATTCTGCTTTACCTCCCAAGCAGTTCTGTGAGGATGAAGAACTGGAGACAGTAATTTAGATAGATGCCAGTAACTAACTGATTGGTAAGTGCAAGATACTAAGTCTGCCTGCCAACTTCTGTTACTGTAAAATCTAGCTAGTGGGTGGATTTATTAATCAATTTGTTTTATAAAGTGACTTTTAAGTGACCTTATCTGTGGTATAGTTTCATAACAACAACGGTGGACACCAAAAAAATAGTTAAGTGGTCAGTTATGCCATGTAGGCTTCTTTCACATAATTCTTCTGAGGATCTTTTTAAGAACCTAGGAACACAGAAAAGGGAACAGTCAAAGTCCAAACTCTGACAGAGGGGTAACAAATAGTGCAAGCTGCAAGACTGCTACTGAACACCCTTAGCCAGCAACCTTGATCATGTAAACAGGTCCACTGCTGCCTTGGGGTATGGCAGAAAGCTCTCGAATTATGTGCAGTGAGCCACAGCTGTGGCTGCATAGGAAGGCTCAGAATTGTTTAAGTCAAAAATATTCACTTAATAGATGTGGCAGGCAGTGCCAGTTCCACAGTGCAGTGTAGTAGTGCAGATGACTCCACCTCAGAAATGTATGTTTTTTTCCATGTAAGTAAAAAACATGGAGGTTTTTTTATAGGTTTATATTTTTATGTATTTATAAAAATTGTATAATTACATAGTATATAAACAAACTTCATATATTAAATAAATACAATGTGACAGATGTGTTTCACTTCATGTAGGGGGAAATGTAGTCTGAATTACATATATACTTATATCTATAAATATATTTACACAATACTAAAACTGTACTGTAGCACGTGTGTTTGATTTCATCTGGTGGCCTGTATGATTTTAACTAAAGTTATTTTGATGAAGAGGGATGAGAGGAATGAGAACAGATTCTAAATCATGTTTAAGTCCATTCCTTTGACTTCTAAAAGAGCTGCTTTTCATCGTGTCAGTAAATTCAGATTAAGATAACTCGTTAAGGCAGATGACTTAAGTGTGCCTGATTAACTGTGTCTGGTAGGAGAGGAGACTGAAGCTCTTAATTTAGAAATTAAGCCCATCCCTGCTCTAAAGCTGAAATTTAGATTCTGCCGAAATCTCTATTTTGAGTCTTGCTTGGTGAAAAAGGACCCACCAGTTAGTGTGCTCATATGACTGTTATTCAACCCTATTTTCTAGTCATACTTTTCTCACATTGGCAGTCATGTATCTGAAGTGTTGGCAATGCAAATGCAGCTTAATTGTATAATGCCATGAAATACTTGACTAGCAAGCAATAGGAAAAATCATCCTGTTTTATGACTTCTTGAATGACTTGTATGGAAAAAAGTTGCATTATTTTCTGCTTTCACAGAATTTCTGTTTCACTGTTTTCTGCAACTTTATGAGGCCTGGAAAGAAATAATTGTTCTGTTCTTGACTTACTAGAGGTCAAGTCAGCTGTTTCTCACTGGAAAATGTAGTCTGTGTAGGTGGACCAAAAACTGAGGGATTAGTGTTCAGAAATACAGTTTGTGTTCACTTAATTCATTAATTGTTCTGCAGAAGTGAAAAAATGAAAGATTCTTTTTCCCTCCATACCCATTTCCTGGAATGCCTAACAGTCACATTTTATTATATTGACATGTTGTAACAGCAACAAGACTTCAGTCACTTCTGTCTCTTTATGCAGTGATTTCATTTTAGTGTGGACATGCACCCAATTGCAGAATTGAACAGTTATTAGTCAGGTTGTTGATTATTTATGATGAGACTGTCTGAACAAGCTCTTAGTAAAGCTATTTCTTGCGCTTCTTACTTTCAACTTGCTTTGAGATGCTGTCCTAGAAAATTATGTGCTGTGTGGCAGTATTTCTTACAGATTCAATATTATCAGATATGAGCCACAGTCAGCAAAAATACAAAAATGAGACTGACCTTGAGCAGTAGAGTTTGGAGTCTGAACTGACAACCAACTTCCCTTCTGGTTTTCTGTGCCTCTAAGTGTGATTTATTGTGTCTGTTTTCAGTATTGGTGTTTGGTCTGAGTTGGGTAAGCAACACTAAAATTCCAGTGAACTAAATATTTAGTGGGCTAAGGTCTATTCAGTTGGGTATATTGGTCTGTAATTCTATACCTTCAGTAGCTGTATTTTTGGGGCCTCGTAGCAGATAGCCAAACCAAGAGGCAAAATTTTCTACTGGCTGTTAGTGTAACTGGTGACCTTGAGCACAATAACAAACCAAGGTGTTTTTCAATATATTCTTTGTCTAGAACGCCTTTTAGTTACCTTGTCTTTTTTCTTGAAATTATGCAGCACTTTCCCTGAAACATTGCTCATCACTAGAATGCATGAGAACACAGTCTGAAGCCGTAAGAGGCCACAACTGTGGAACAGTAGGAGTCTTAATCTGTTTATGACAGAAGGTGTTTGTTTCTCGGCTATTCTCTTGTGAGTTTGTTGTTTGGTTTTGTGCTGGATTGTTTTTTGTTGTTTTTTTTCCTTTTAAAAAGCTTTTTTAAACATCATGATGTAAACAAGAAGCTTATTATTTTGTTGCAGCAGTGTGCCAGATGATCATGAAACAAGATCTAGCTTGTGTTTGAGAAAGCTTCATTCTCTGTACCTTTTAAAGAGATACCCTGCAGAGATGATCCACTGGGATGTAGAGGTTTTTTGTATATGTTTTTCAAGGTTAGGTGGGAAATTTCTTAATTCTGTCCCATAATGAATGTAAGATTTCTTCATTAAAAGGTGTTTGGCAAGGAGGGGTGAGCAGGAATAGCTCTGCTACCATTTGAAGCTGAATTCACATTTTGCTTAGTTATCACCATGGCTGAATTCAAAATGAATTACATGCCAGCTGTACAGGGCAGCTGGTTTCTACTGGCCTGTTGGGAGCCAGCTTGAAAGACATTTTGCTTTGATTCACTCTTATTTTGCAGCAGATGAAGAGGAGAAATATTTCCCGGTAAGGTTTTACTGCAGTATAGTTGTGCTGCAAGAGGAATTATCACAGGAATACCAGTAAGCCTCTGAATGTCCTAGGGAACAATGGTAAGCATTGGGGCTGAAATGTTGATATTTTCCCCTTTATCTTCACTTATTGACCCACATGGAATATATATGTATTTAAATTTCTTTTTTTTTTTTTGTCTGAATCGGGTTGTATCATATATTTGGTGAGCTTTTAGTCTGCATTGTAAAACATTTTACATCTTCACCATGAAATTTCACCATGGTCTGCCTGATGTATGCAAGTGCATCCTTAACTTAAATCTATCCCTCTTAATTGTTCACTTGCTAGTTTCATCCACTTGCTACATAAGTATCAGACATGCAATAAACTGGTCAGGGCAAGCAAAGGGCACTCTAATTAATAACAGACAGTTCACGTGTGTTTGGTCACTTCTCAAATGCCTTATGAAACTGTCTGTAAATATCAGCTAAACCAAAGCTTGGAAGAAGAAAATGGGTTTTGATGGTAATTTGTGTTAAATGAAAAAGTAGTGGCGATTGACAGTAAAGAAGCAGCCTAATAACCTTAGAAGTCTTAAAGTTTCATTAATATCACTGTGTCAGACTTTGATGTTAAGGTCTCAGAACACAGTGCACAGCACAAGTTGTATTTTGTGATGTGGAGCCATTATTCATGTGCTGTTCTGTGGGGCTATTTCATCTGTTTCCTTTGAAACTGTGGAATTTGTGTGAGCTTTCAGAGGAAGCGATCCAGAGCAACCCTGGAAATGGGGTTGCTTAATGTTTGTTCTCTCCCCTCCTTTTCTCCCTGATGGCTGAACTAGAAAGGAGTTTTTTGGTGTCCTTTATGTACCTTATAAAAAGCATCTTCTAATGAGTTAAACTGAATGGGGGGGCTGACAAAATCTTCACTTTGTTTCAGAAATTTTAGAGACCTTGGTGGAGTCATGCCCACAATTAATTGAATATCAAAGCCTTGGACTTCAAAGAAGTGTTTGCGAGGTCTGCATGTGATTTCTTCAGGGACAAATAGCACATCTTGCTCGAACATCTGCCTAAATCTAGTCTAGTAAGCATTAAAGTAATTTTTTAAAGTTCTGGAGGTCTTGTAGATATGACTTAGATATAAGCAGTTCCTGCAAGGGCTGATGAAGGCTGGGGAAAAAAACTCAGAACTGAAAAAAAGTGTAAAAGTGATTGGAGTAGCATAACTACTGTTGTGGAGAAGGTAAGAAACCATCTAATTATTGAAGGACAGAGGTGAGATAATGTGAACCCCCCAGCAGCTTGGGATGTGAATTTTCTACACTTGTCACAGTGACAAAACATTACTAGTAAATATGTTGTTAATATTTGATGTACTCCATAAATTACCCTAGATTTTTTGGGGGAGTTATGTAGTTTTCTGTTTTGTTTTTCTTCCTAAAAAACTTATAAATTAGCTTTCCTCTTTTTGGGAATACATTTGTTTATGTGTGAGATTTTCTTTCTGGTTAGTCAGTTGATGGCTCTCCATCTGGGCTCTGAAGCCTAGGATAAAGATGCTCCTGCAGGTCCTATCCTATTGCTGTCTTTAGGGTGATACATAGGTACTATAACCTCTTCTTTTAGCTCACTTTGTTGTTGCAACAACCAACTGAGGCAAATAAGAGCACAAAGTTGTGGTCTCAGCATATTGAAAGTGTTGGAAGAAAAATGCAGGCTAAAACTCACAGTGTACTCAAAATATTTATTGTTCTTGCTAAAATTAACAGCAAACTGATTGATTTGTCATACTCTTGGGAACAAAAATATCTGGCTCTGTGAGTTGCAATATCATCACACTGGAAAAGGGACGTAATAAATGCCTGGCTTATGAAAGACCTTTTGAGGCTTGCCTGGGTAGCTGAGGTTAAAGAATGTCATAAGTAAATTTTAATGTTGGTGAGAGAAATTGTAACTAGTGGTGAAAATGACAGGAATTGGAAAGGAGATTTTTAAATGTATAATATTTGACAAAAGCCTGTGACTTAAAGGTATTTCCTGCTTCCTCTTGCATTTTGTCAGTGTGGGTTTTTTTCCTTCTGCTTTCTATATGAAGTTCCATCAGACAGAGCATGTATAGCCTTCTGCAAGTGCTGCAAGAAGTTAGCTATTGCTGTTTACAGTGAAGTCATTAGGAAAAAATGAACCCAACAAGCAACAGCTGACAATGTGATTTCCTGGCAGAAATGTAGAGTATTAATATAAGGAAATAATGGAGTATCTTCCCTTTTTGTGCTGTTTTTCAGACTGCTCTGCAATGACTACAGCAAGATACAGGCCTACCTGGGACTTGGTACTTGATCCATTAGTGTCCTGCAAGCTCTGCCTTGGTGAATATCCTGTGGAGCAGATGACAACAATAGCACAATGCCAATGTATCTTCTGTACCCTGGTGAGTTTGTATTCTATGTTTAGGAATAAAACCCAAAACATAATTTTAACTACAGAACATGTATGTTTCTGCTGTGTGGGTTTCACCCTGAAGTATTGATGTTGCAGTGGAAATAAATACTGTTTCTGTGTACTTGGCACAAATGCTAGCAGGTAAACCTTTGTTTTTCTGTTAAAAAAAAAAAGAGTTTTTACTTGGCACTTGAACGTAGTTACCTCCTTAACAAGGTTATTCATTCCTTCCTTCTACATCTCTCTGTCTTGGATTTGGGGGTGGCTTTTTGATTGGCTGGATTTTTATTGGGTACTTTGGTGGTTTGGGGTTTTTTTGGTTGGCTTTTGGTTATTTTTTTAACTTTAGAAGAGAATAGAGTCTTTCAGCTGGAAGGGATTGTTTCACGGTGTTCATCAGTCCAACTTCCTGAGCACTTCAGGGCTCATCTAAAGTTAAAGCAGGGTATTTAAGGCATTGTCTAAATGCCTCTTAAACATTGACAGGAAGCTGCTGCCCCAAGCCTATCTGTGAAGTCTGTTCCAGTGCTTAGTCACCCTCCTTGTAAAGAAATGCTTTCTAATGTCCACTCACAACCTTCCCTGATGCAGCTTTGAATCATTCCCACACTTCCTCTCACTGGATACTAGGGAGAAGAGGTCAGTACTTCCCTCTCTAGTTCCCTTCCTCAGGAAGCTTTAGAGAGCAATGAGTTCACCCCCTCGGCCCCATCCTCTCCAAACTAGACAAACCTAAAGTTCTCATCTGCTCCTCACAGGAATGTGTCTTGCAGCCCTTTCTTCAGCTTTGTTATCCTCCTCTGGGTGCATTCAGGTTCCTTCACATACTCCTTAAATTATGGGGCTCAGAACTGCACACAGCACTCCAGGTGAGGCTGCACCAATGCTGAATACAGTAGAATAATCACCTCTTTTGACTGACTAGTGAGGCTGTTTAATGCACCCTGGAATGGAGTTTTCACTCCTGGCTGCCAGGGCTCACTGCTGAATTGTATGGAACCTGTTGTCACACAGCATCTCCAGATCCCTTTCTGCAGGACTGTTCTCCAGGCACTCCTTTCTTAATTTATATTTGTGTCTGGTGTTATTCAATATGAGGTGGAGAATCTGACACTTCAACTTGTTAAATTTCATGCCATTAGTCATAGCCTGATGCTTCAGTTTCTCTAGATCCCTCTGCAAGGCATCTTGTCCCTCAAGAGAATCAACAGCACTTCCAGATTTGTTTCATCATCACTCTTGCTAATGGTGTTCAGCTCCTACATCCTAACAGCTGCTAACCATGTTGAACAGAACTGACACTAGAATTGAGCTCAGAGAAAGTGCTGGTGACTGATTGCCAGGCAGATGTAGCCCCATTCACTACAACCCTTGGAGACCAATTCTTCACCCAGAGCACCATGTACCTGCTCATCTCACAGCTGGACAATTTGTGCAGAAGGCTGCTGTGAAGGACAGTATCAAAAGCCTTACTAAAATCCAGAAAAAATATGTCCACTACCTTTCCTTCATTCACTAGGCAGCTGACCTTGTTATAGAAGGTTATCAAATTAGTTAAACAGACTTGCCCTTTGTGAACCCATGTTGACTGTGCCTGATTGCATTATTCTTTAAATGCCTTTCAATAGTACCCAGTATAGCCACACACTTGTAACTACAGAAGTATTTCATGTATTATAGATTTCAATTTCTCTGTATCACAGTCACAATAACAGGTTTCCATTACTGTATTGTACAAATGCTTACCTGGAATAACAAGCATATTGTCAGTTAAGTACAAAACACTGGCAAACATAAGTGTAGTATGTGACAAAGATCATCGTCACAGTTAATGGATATTAATAGTTTATGAATAGAGAATGAAAACTAGTACTAATTTTTCATCCTTAATAATGACTTGAAAATAAAATTTTAGATCCTTAAATTTTGCAGTGGGTGCAGGTACACCAAAAACTTTGTAACAATGGTTCAACAGAGGAATAGATGGATTATTATCAGTAAGAGTATAATTTCTGGAGTATATGATGTTCAGGCTTTAATTTCCTCAGAGTTTTGATGTGGTGTTACAGATTCAGAAATGGGATTGAGTGACTTGGGTTTTTTCTTAAATTTGAAAGTCTTTTTCCACAAAGTTTTTTGGTGTGTGTTCTTAATGTTCAAGATCAAGGATTTTAGTTACTTTTTAATTTTTTTTCTTCATGGAAACACTATCTTTTAATAATAGATTTTTTTCCCTGATGAAAAAAAGAATAGCTAATAGAACAGACAGTTCCACTTTGAAAGGAGTGTTTGCTTAAAATTCAAAAGTATATAAAATAATAAGCTTCATGAAAACTGTTCTCCACTATTCTAGTACTTACAGTCAAGTGTTCTGTTTCTCCTTGTTGCTTGGGTGTGTGAAATACTTAAATTTCAGTTTTCAGTAACATTTCAATGGTAACAGAAAGACTAGATTACCACATATATCTTTTCATCTTCACCTGGTTCCTTCTGATGTTTGCTGCTGTCACTGATCTGTTTCTTGGTATAGTTCTTTCTGCTTATTTGAAAGATATAACCAGTTAGAGACATTAAATATGTAACCTTTGCCAATAACCTATACTTAGCAGCTGACATAAATAACCTGTTTGCAGTGACATGGGATTTTTGTTTGGAAATCTGTTCAGGTGGAATCACCAACCCACTTGTACCACTTATATTTGACTGTCTCAAATAGTTCATTCAGCTCGGTCTTGTTTAAGGAAATTGGTGTAGTTTTCTACCTCTTGTTTGTCACTTGCTTCACTACAGTGACATTTGAGTGCCTTGAAAAAATTATTTATCCTAAAGTGCTACTGTAAATTAATAGGAAATATTACTTTTGCTGTCATTGATGACAGTGAAGGAAGAAGAATCAATCCATATAAATGAAAGAGACAATAGCTGTAAACCTGTTACAGCTCCAGCTTTCATCTGAAATCCAAGGCCTTCATCTCAACCTACAGGCTGTCCCAAAGGTAAATACATTGCTGAAGAAAATACTCCCCTAAGTCAGGCAAGATTGTTTAGCCTATTGGCAATTGTTAAGGAAAAGTGTGACAGCTGTGCACAGATTCGTCCTCTTGTGTTCCTCCAGTGTCAATTTCCAGCAACACCAAGGACATTGCAGTCTTCAGTATGAACTGTGCTTTGTAAATGGCCAAACTAAAATTGTTTAAAACGAAAAGGGAAAAAAACCAAGCCTTTTGATTCAAAATCTTGCATGGAGTCTATGTAAAGTATATCCAGTACATCTGTTTTGTTTTTGACTGACCAATAAATAGTTTTGTTCTGGCTGCTTGCTTTTATGTAAATGGACAGAGATAACTGATGGCCCCTCCAGGGATATGAGCAAAAGAGAAAAAAGGATGTCTGTTACAAGTGTGAGAACTACTTCTGCTGTGGCTTTTGCCACCAGCTCTAACCCTTCTGGCTAAATTGCAGCAAGCTGAGACAGCATCAGTATGTATCACGAAGATCAGTGCTAGTGGTATGTAGGCAGAATTTGGATCAATGTACAGGTCTCTTAATCCTATAATATTTGTATATTATAATATTATTTATAATCATAGAAGTGCTTTAGTAAAGATCCCGTGAATTGTCTCTTCCTGACACTTATACAGTAGCACAACTTTGCTATTCAGAAAAATAGAATGGGGACACTGTTTCCTTTTGCTTTCTGGCAGAGCTGTGCATGGATTGAATAGAGCAGACTGCCACTCCTCTACTGATAAGGCACAGGCACTACAATTTCCCATAGTATTACTTTGCCAGTTGTGGCTATTTAGTACAAATTACTCCATTTAGTACTCCATTATGGTTTTTATCATTGTGATCGTTAATGTGCACACAGTGCTGTGAGCTCTCAAGTTTTGTGTATCTCATCCATTAAGAATGTTACAAGAATGTATTTGCTCTGGCACCTCAAGCAAATCCTTGTTGGATTGCTCAAGGTACCAGAGGAACAAAACTCTAGAGAGTAGAAAGAAACAAACTATCTGCTGATGTCTTTTTGTTTTTCTGAGTATTATCAAGAGGCAGACTACTATCTCTTTTCTGGAATCATGTAAACGAAAGGACTAATCTTAAGTATGCTCATCTAATTCTTAAATATCTTGCTTTTTATTAAATCACTTCCCACCTAAATAGCACACAGTACATAGCTAGTAACCTTGAATTTTAAGATAGTTACTTAAACATTGCGTGCCCCAGCAGAAGCAATTGGTTGTACTTGTTTTCTTCAGAAAGCTTTCCTCATGACACTTACAGAAGGAAAGGGAGGGTAAAGCAGAGAACACTGCTTTTTTTTCTTTTTTTTTTTTATTAGTTACTGCACTATAAATTTTTGCACTTAGTAGTTAACCTTTTCTTTTTTGAAGGGTTAACAGTTGATAAGGAGGGAGGAGTTTTAGTCGACTTGCTGTCTGAAATTCTGATTATTTTGTAATCTATGATGAAATTCTCATGTGTCTTAAAGGACAGGATGTTTCCTTAATGTGTTACCAACTGTATATGTGCTAAAGTTACAACAGGTTTTTGTTCCAGCTGATATTCTTGCATATCAATTAGTAAAGCAGTTAGTTACTTAAATGTGTTCCAATTCAGGACTTATATGTACACCTGTGTACATAAATACTATATAATTTATATATATATAGAAACATACACATAGATGTGTCAATGTGCTGCAAGTACAGTGATGCCACTGTTACTCAAGACAGGCTGAGCTCCTTTTGACCTAACATTAATTAGATTGTTCAGTTCCCTTCAAGATGTTATGCGGTGCTGATCATTCTGGTCCTGGAGGATTTCATTCATACTTTTCTCAAATTTAAAAAGAACGTCAATCAAGTAGGTAGTCCAGGCAAGAAAACGTCTAGAAGAAATATGAAGCCTAACATAAAACTTGTCTTTGATGGAAAAGTTTAATTTGATTACTCATCTGCAGTCCACCTTGTTACTGATGGAAGG